TCCGTACTCCCGTGCCAGCCAATTTGTGCAACAAGGCTTGATCCGCCTATAACCACAGCTCGCCAGCTAGGAGATTCCAAAACAGCGCGACAAGGGCCTTCATGCACCTGGCTCTGCCACCTATAGCTCCGCAAGCCATCCTGGTCTTTCCTTGTTCTGGTTTCGTTTCAGCGACTTCATTGAACCAAAGCCGGGTAGTCTCGTCAAATACCTAGGCATGGGGCAATTGATACTCCATGCTGTTAAATAATACCCCAAGTGTAGAAGGGTACTTAGTACTAGTACTCCGTAAACACTAGGTAGTTACTTCGGTAGTTATGGAAAAATCTGTTCCTAGTCCAAACAGACGTGAGAACAAATTACCTTAGCCTGGCCTAGACCAGGCTGTTCAGGGACATCGAAATGAGACCATGGATGGAGATGGATTTCCCCACCCCTTGCTGGGCCAGGCCAAAGATGGTGGTCCGGGGCCGACATGGCGCTCTCACATTGGTACTCTCTGGTCAGGAACGCTCGAGCTTGTCTTAGCTGAGCTGCGGACTGACGAAGTTGCAGCACGGAACACAGAAACCCTGTCTGGTACCCGAAGAGAAGAGAGACAGAAAGAGAGAGGAGAGAATCGGCGGTTTTGTCGAAGGGGCACGTAAATACGTTTCCCCCGGGCGATGGTGTTAGTTGCTTCTTCGTAGATATGTGTTTGCTGTTACAAGGTAAACGAGGACAAGATGACCATATCAAAATGGGCTCCCATCTGTACGGAGTCATTGGACACAGTGGACTGTGAAGTCGGGCTGAACTCGGAGGCCAGGACGCAGCGAGGCGAGATATCGTGCCAATGGATTTTGCGCACTGTACGTAGTATACGGTGCAGTGCCAGGACAGAATAGCCTGGAAGAATGTCGCGCTCTTGACATCGTTTGCGAGGATTCACAGTGCGAACTGCATGACCCGCCTCGCCGCCTTGCTGCTTCAATTACGGAGTACTCTGGCCTTGTCATGGCCCAACAGCCTTATTCATCAGCGGCGGCACAAGCAACATTGAAAAGAGTCGAAAGTGAGCCACTGACCCTTGATGGCGACGGGCGTTCAAATGCTGGCCCTGGCCTCGGTGGCTCGAAGATCGTGTTCAGATGCAGATGCAGGCAGAGCTTATGTATGTGCGAGATCAATAGCAAAGCACAATCAACATCTTCAGAAATGAAGGGTGCATTCCGGCCAGACATCTCTTCAAGTCCAGATGTCTGCAAGATTGGTTAACGGCTGGTGTCTCTGTTCGTCGCTGTTTGGCTCCTCAGCCTCTGGTTGGCTTTTGGCCCCATGGCCATGCAAGTCAGGAGCGAGTGCCCACTCTTTCCAATCTCACTTGCACCACCCCAGCCCAGCCCAGCCAGAGCCAAAGTCGAAGCCAAGCCCAGCCCGGCCCAGCCCTCTCTCTTCTCGACGGTTTCCCTCCGGCTTCCTTCCCCTTCGCAGCTTCCCAAGTTCGCGGTTCGCAGTTCCCAGCTTCCCACCAAACTGCCACCCCCGTTCTCAAGTGCTCAAGTGCCCCAATCTCTCATCTTGACTAGACCAGTTGACGCCGTCTCCTTCCCCCGATAAGCCTCTGGCTTTGCGCCCGCCCGCCGTCTGTCGCTTCTTCCCTCCTACAACCCTTTGACGTCGCCTGTCTGCGTTCTGCAGTGTCTGCACTCAATTGGCGCTTGTTGTTGCCAGCAGACCATCCATCTCTGGTGAGTCGGTGCTGTCGATTCCTCAACTTCTCCTCAATCCCCGTTTGAGCGTTGGAACTTCTACTGTTACTGCGCTGTCGCCCTTACCCCCGACCCGTCCAGTCCCCGTCGTCGCTTACCCCTAGGAGGCGCGGACCAAGCATCCCATGCACTCGCACGACTCGTGCCCTCTCCTCAAATAATACATACGCCCCGTCGTCCCAGTCAAAGACACCAACTGCTGCCTCTCGATGCTTGCTTTTCCCCTTTCTGCATTCTCAAGTATCGCCTTTGGGTGGTGGTCGTCGACGTATTGTCCGGAGCCTCTGCGAGCGTCTTGCACTCTTATTTTTCATCTCGTCTGCTAAGCCCCTTTATTTGCTAACCAGACCGCGTTTTGGGGCAGCACCGTTTCTTTCCGCCCTCGGGAGCCCGTTTCATCGCGTCAAACAGCATAAACTGCGAGTTCCTCGACTTTTCTTCGAATTCTATCTGCAAAACAATCGTCGCGATTTCTTTAGCGCCGCCAAGATGGGTTGTGGAATGAGCACAGAGGAGAAGGAGGGCAAGGCCCGAAACGAGGAGATTGAGAATCAGCTGAAACGGGACAAGATGATGCAGCGCAACGAAATCAAGATGCTATTGCTCGGTATGTGAGCTGCAGAGAACCTACTCGGGCGACATTTGGCGACGTCATACAGAACCAACCAAGTTCCATTCTCGAATTTTTGTGGTTACTGTTACTGGTCGCTTGGTGCTGGCGCGGTGCAAATCCCCGGTATGAAGTGTTACTAACCCGTCTTCCGATAGGTGCTGGTGAATCTGGAAAGTCTACAATTCTCAAGCAGATGAAGCTTATCCATGAAGGTGGTTATTCACGTGATGAGCGGGAGTCCTTCAAGGAGATTATCTTCAGCAACACTGTTCAATCGATGCGAGTCATCCTTGAGGCCATGGAGTCCCTTGAGCTACCCCTGGAGGACCAGCGAATGGAATACCATGTTCAGACTATCTTCATGCAACCCGCCCAGATCGAAGGTGAAGTTTTGCCTCCTGAGGTTGGAGGTGCTATCGAGGCCCTATGGAAAGATCGTGGTGTTGAGGAGTGCTTCAAGAGATCACGAGAATACCAGCTCAACGACTCTGCGAGATAGTACGTCGTGCTTTCGATTGACGGAGAGCCATTACCTGGATGACTAGGCTAACTGTCAAATAGCTATTTTGATAACATTACTCGCATTGCAGCCCCGGATTATATGCCAAACGACCAGGACGTTCTGCGATCACGAGTTAAGACAACTGGTATTACCGAGACTACTTTCATCATTGGCGACTTGACCTACCGCATGTTCGATGTCGGTGGTCAACGATCAGAGCGAAAGAAGTGGATTCATTGCTTTGAGAACGTTACTACGATTCTGTTCCTTGTCGCCATTTCTGAGTATGATCAGCTGTTGTTCGAAGATGAGACCGTCAACCGTATGCAGGAGGCTTTGACACTGTTCGATTCTATCTGCAATTCGAGGTGGTTCATCAAGACGTCAATCATCTTGTTCCTCAACAAGATCGATCGTTTCAAGGAGAAGCTACCCGTCAGCCCGATGAAGAACTATTTCCCCGACTATGAGGGTGGTGACGACTATGCTGCAGCTTGCGACTACATCCTCAACCGATTCGTCAGCCTGAATCAGCATGAGACCAAGCAAATTTATACTCATTTCACCTGCGCCACCGACACTACTCAGATCCGCTTCGTGATGGCGGCTGTCAATGGTATGCCTCCGTCCAAGTAGCCACCCGTCGTCTGTGTTTATCTAAAGCTAATATTGTTCTCTAGACATCATCATCCAAGAGAACCTTAGATTGTGTGGTTTGATCTAAACAATTTGTTTCATTTCTTTGTCTTAAAACACGAATACCCTCAAGCTCAATAACGACCACCCAGGGGGCCACGGAGACACGGCTCATGATTTTTCTTTCATTGTACTCGTATCAGCGTAAAACGAGAGACTTGATGTCTCTTGTTTGTTCCCCATTGCCTATACTTCTTATCACAGTTGTAAACTGCGGCGCTACGCTGTGTATGCGAACCCCAGGCGATGATTTTTTTGGCTCTTCTGTGGGACCTGCTTGCGCCTCCATGCATACGATAGGGGTATACGATGTATCACCGGGTGCTACAACACGATACCTTGTATCAAAATACGGCAGAAAATGGGTTCAGAAAGGAAGAGTGTGTGGACAGAACCTCGAGCGGGGAGGGAGATACTACACAGCATCGTGAGTAAGTCGATGCATCGGCGCGGTGGTCATCTACTTTGTTTAATTACGAAAACTATTACTTTTTTTATTATTTCCTTAAATTTTTCGATGCTGTCGTCTCTTACTTGCGCGTGTCAGTTGTCTTCATCTCCTCTTCATATTTGTTTATTCTTTCAATTTCTTCATCTTACTTTGTGGGAAATGGCACCTCAAGACAGCCTATTTGGATGAAGTGGTGAGAGAGTTGGGACGTGCGATGCGGCGGTTGGAAATTATGGAACAGGAACAGGGCTTAGCTAAAGCTAGATCCAAAATTAAGATACACACATACATTAGCTGGCACGGCAGGCTCAAGTGACTGTATGTCCACTACATGCACGATGATCCATATGACGTAGACCACTGTGGTAAGTAGTCGGTACAGCAGGCAAATGGAATTCCTTGATAATGAGCTAGTTGTGTCTACTCTACGTCTTAAGGATGTCCTGGCTATACACGTTCAAAAAGTGGTGAACCAGGGTAAAACCCCTTTTACAAAATGTCCAATATCGTCTCGTTTTTGTTCGTTGAGTCTGCTATAGTTCATGATATACCTGAACTGAACTCGGGGTATAAAAATTCGCAGCAAATGTCAATCACAAGCAAAGTGTAAAGTAATAACAGATGCGCGCCTCTAACGCGCAATGTGTGAACCCCCTTTCATAGTTCAACCAAATAGAGGAGTAGAGTGTCGAGAATGAAGCAATAAGAATAAATCTTTTAATGCGAGTCTTTCGTTTGCTCTGATATTCTCTGCATCCTCTGCAGTCGCCTTTCTTGTTTTCGTGCATCTTGGATTGATGAGTTGATGAATGTAGGTGTATTTGATGGATAGGTCCGCTTACCTTTTCTTGGTTTCATGCCACTCGACGTCTAAATTTCAACATTCTCGCTTTGCGCAATTCCATACTTTAAAGCTTGCCGAATTATAAGCCTGTGTGCGGTGAATACTGGCTATGGTCTCGGAAGTTCGTTTTCATTACCACCAGGTCATGTCAACGGCCCGTGGGGCGAGTTATCATCCATAGGCATGTCTCCCACCTGACTCTGAGAGAGCTGATCTTGTTCCAGCCTTTGCTGCTCGGTGATTCCTTCTGGAGTTTGCAGATACTCATCGTATTCTGCAATACGCATGCCCAATTCCTTGGCTGCGGCCTCGATTCTGGCAATATAACGTCCTCTTTTTGTCAAGTTCACGATATCTCCCATGGTCTGGCTCAGAAACTGCCTAGTTTCATCAGCCAAGGCCCATTGAAGAATCTCGGATTGCAATGACCCAGCGGGAGGTGTTGCCGCAGAAGAGAGTTGCTGGTATGCCGCTGCAGGCGGCGCTACCTGGGCGGAGGCAGGACCGGCTGCAGGCGAAGCAAAGTGGGATGGCTGAGGGTTATTGTTCTCTAATTTATACAGCATCTTGTTAGGACTGAGGATACATGAATCAAGGTAGAAAGGAGACTCTTTTGAGTCCGATAGCAGCCACGTACCATGAAACGTACACCTCGAACCACTCGCGTTAAACCAGCAGTTAGTACAACTACCACACATTTGGCCGTCGTACACAACACATTGTGTCCATGGGCCGTGGCCTTTGTGACAATTCTTGCATGGCCGGGCAGCTACTTCACCGGTGACGTGGGCCAACAGAGCCTCGACGTTGCTACGCCTTTCAATGTTCAGCTTTTGGTCGCTCCGTCGTTGCGTTGGCTCCCGACGTGCTGCCTCTCCCGCAAGTTTCTTACAAAGTGCACTGTCAATTTTCAGGGTATCGCTGTACGCCTCCATCGCCACATCAGCCGCAGTCCGAGTTGGTGCATAGCAATTACTTTTTTCAGAAATACTCGCATTCCCCGTTGGACCCGGCGAGGGAGTATGAATACTGTCTGAGAGATTATGTTGGTCTAATTGCAGCACTTGACGATCGGCTTCCAACGCCTGCTGAAGGCTAGAAATAGAACCGCCAGTGTTGCTGAGCATACCCGTGTCAGAGAGCTGTACAGAATCACTCAAATGGCTGCTCGCATCAGCCATGGATGAGTGTCCTAGATTTGCCGCATCCCTGGCGAGGCCATCATGAGAAGCTTGTTGCACCAAAGCTTCCAGCTGGTCGTGAGCTGTGCTTGGTAGTGGTGAATATCGACTGCCACGACGAGGAGCGGTGCCCGTCTTTATGACCTTGCTAACTTTGCCTCGCGAGGGCATGTTCTTCATGGTCGCATGGGAATCGCTGAATATCAGAGATGGTTGTACCGACACAACTTCTTCCGTTGTAAAACGGCCGCCATGGTTGAACGGCGATCCGGGAACACATGGGTGTTGCTGGCCTAGGTTGCCCAGAGTTTGATCGCCGCGTTGCAGCCCATGGTAGGGCGCCCAGCGGCGATTCATGACCCGCTGTGATTGGCCCAATGGGTCTCAAGGCGTGGTATGTTTTCGGAGAACAGGGCCTTGAGGTAACCACCGGCTTCTTGACGTACAACGAAGAAGAGAATAAAAGATATTGTACGTACGCAACAGGTAAATGAAAAGATTAAAGATTTCATGAGATGCTTTAAATGTTGGGAACGGATGTTGAATGGGAAGATGTGGGTGCCTGAGGCCTAAGGAGAGGAACTCCCAATTTAGAAGCCGCAACTCACTTTCTGCTCACCTGTCCTTCACTTTGCAACAGGGGGTGGTCTTGATGGTGAAAATTCCTACAAAACACAGCTCGCCAGTGCCATACGCAGGGTCAATCATCACAGTTGCATTGCAATTTTTTCAATTTAAATTCACGTCCTTTACATCTGTTTCTATGAACGCTGACCGGCCTATTGACCCCATAATCCCTCTGCTCTACCCTCCGTAATCTCCTTCCACTGTTGGGCGAACTCCTGAAGACCCCCCTCACCCGCGAGACTGGCATCTACGACCTCTTTTGGTAGCTTATGAGCAGAGTACTGCGGCGTACTGAAATTGAAAGCCGCAGGATCGTCCTTCTCAATAAGCCTCAGCTCGGGCAAGGCATTAGGTTCATAGTCGATGTTGGTATCGTCATCCGTCTCATCTGTGCCTGTCTCATCCCCACTAGCGTCTACAGCTTGGTCAGTTCCGGCCGAGCCATATAGCGGAGCCTTGACTTCCATATCGAGGAGTTCTTGCCACGAGAAAAGCAAAGTATCCGTCCGAGGGGCCCAAGGGTTAATGTCCATAAGGCGAACTTTTCCTAAACCATCGTCTGCCAAAGGATCCTCAGGGATGTAAACGTCGAATGTGAAGCAGGCATCTGGAAATGTGAGTCTCATCCTCTCTCTGAAAAATGACCTAATCTTTCTCCATATTTGTGGGCGAAGGCCCTGCAAAAAGTTATAGTAATTCAGGTCTCGCTGTGTAATGCCAATAAGTGACCGATGCTTAACAAAACAGCGGAACTCGAGAGCAACATGCGGTGTGAAGAATGGCCTGAGGACAAGAACCGGAGAAAATGGCCGAGACGGCGGTGCAGGTGTGCAACCGTCGAACGCATGATCCAAATCGTGTGAGACGAATGACGACGACTTGAGTAAGAGGTATATATCGTTTGGCGATGTGCATTTTAACGTGTTTTGATGTGGCGACACCCATTTGGCGTCCTTGGGGGTTGACCAGTTGAGTTTGGGAGCAACGGCTCCGCCGAGTTCCTCAATGGTCTCCTTAATTTTTTTATGCGTCTCGGGAAACCTCTCATTTGGAGGTAATCTAGGTGCCTCATCTTCGTCCTCGTCGTCTGAAGAATCCATATCTCTCTTGCCTCGGGAGTCGGAGTTTGCGCCTGATGAATGCCATTCCGGATCTGCGGGTGCAACAGAGACATCTTCGTCGGCCAACAGTATTCCGTCCTCTTGTAGATATGCCACAAAAGTTTGAGGCAATGGGATGATTCTTGACTTCAAACAAGAACTCCTGTAGCTTGGGAACCATGTATCGTATGAGCAGTTTTGGATATGGTCTTTTGTAACTGGAGGGAACACGAGCTCTGTGGCATGTTCTGAATTTGCGTCTGGGTCCGGCGTTAGGTGAGGCATAGTTCTAGCTAGTATTTAAACGATATCAACGGATAGGGTAGAGAAAAGTATAATATAGTCTAGCATTTATAAAGAACATGTATATTGCCTGACGATGCCTCCAGGCAGAAAGTTCTCGATCTGGTTTGACTCGCAGCATAAAATTAAGTTGCATCCTCTCTTGCAAGGTCACCCCCACCATCCGCCCTCGTTGATTTTTGCCACCAGGCTGTTGATCGACGCAGCACCAACTCACCGCTTACTAAATTTGGTATGACTGATTGGTATCCGCCTCCCCGCTACCAGGTTTCCGCAATCCTTCAACTTCACTATCTTTTTGATAATCCACCGTTCTAAATAATACGAGTCAAAAATGTCAGAAAACGTTGGTCTATCTACTCCAAGGGGCAGTGGAACCTCAGGATACGTCCAGAGGAACCTCGCTCATCTTAAGCCTCGTGACCATGGAGCTCCATACCCCCAGAATTTGGATAGCTTACGCCACAAGCAGCGACAACCCGACAAAGGCATCCTGGAACATGATCGCAAGAGACAAGTTGAAGTCAAGGTTTTTGATCTAAGAGATAAACTTGAGGAGGAGGAGTAGGCCATCACTCTATAGACTCCTTTGTCATGATGCATGCTAACAGAATGCCCAGGATCGATGAAGAAGAGATTGACAAACGATGCGACGAACTGCGCGAAAAGCTCCTCGCAGAAATGGAATCGGGAAGGAGGGGGGGCTCCGGACCGAGGCGAACATTCAAAGAACATCAAGTTCACGAAATGGCTGATGCCAAGATCAAGGAAAGCGAGCGATTAAGGAAAGCACTCAAAATTAGCCCTGAATATGAGGAAGGCAGCCATTGGAAGAGACAAGAAGAACGACTACGAACTGCTCTTGAGAAAAAAGCGGATGAGAAGGAATGAGGGAGAAACCGAAGCTCGCAATAAGAGAACGAAGGCCACGCGACAATCTGCTCAAGTTCGAAGGCACTACATTCCACAGCTGCGGGTCTATTAGTAGATTGCCCAACACGTGTGTATCAGCGTTTGGCTCGAAAAGTGACCTGAGACGGACCCTTTACATTCACCCTTAGTCCCGAGGAAACCATGATTCCTCCTCAATACTTCGAAGCATGTGGTACTCAGCGTTTACCGCTCTGAAGTATCACCTATCACAGAACTAGCAGAAGTTGATTGGGAGTACGCGAGTGGAAATGGAGATTATGGATGAATGAGAAACACCGCCGGTTCAGAATCGGACGAATCCTTCACGCTGCGGAAACTCCAGGGTTTCGAATACGACTTGCAGCGCAAATAGAGACATGACAAGACTGATGGGACAATTCATGAGTGAGATGAGGCGTTAATAAGGATTCATACAGTTGCGTTAGATGCAGCTTTAGGATAAAATACGACCACAATGGCATTTCTCGATCCTAGAAAGCTTTAGACTATGATTGTAATATCACGGCTTTTGTCAGGCCCGAGTCCTGTCGCCTTTGAAAGCGCTCCGCCACTGGTCTGATAGTTGATTGAGAAATAATGAAACAATTTCGGTGCCTGGAGGGCGGGAAGGATGTTAGATGGCTCTTGCCATTAGTATTCCGCTTTGGGAATCAGACGAGGGGTCAGAGTTTTGTGCATGAAATACTATGTCATACGCCAAGCTTGAGTACGAGGGTTATATCTTTCATCCTGTGTGACATGTCGTCAAATTCGCTGCATTTTACGCAGTACAGCTCGACTTGCATGTCTATCAGGCGATTAGAGTCACATTCCGCCCATCATTATTTGACCCCCGCCCCGGTCACCGCCAACAAGATCCTGGTAATTAATGCGCAGCTTCACCCTCTCTGGTCTGGACTCTGATGTCTGACGGCTTGGGCGAATCGCACCGACCGCCGACTTCCTTCAAGACTGTGGAGTCTCCGATGCGAAAGTAGAAAGACGAGAATACTTTTTCAAGGGGAGTTGGCATCCTCCATGAGTTCCCCCTCGATCGTCGCGACACTGAGAAGCAACAGGTGCTGACCCAGCGCCGTTCAAGCCTTTTACATCATGCTATCGACGCTATCTGTTGTGCTGTTCCTTGCAGCTGTGAGTTGGGTGACTGATGCTGGACGTTCAGGACAGACTGACTTTGAAACCCGTTGCTTGTCTTTTGAGCCAGAGAAGCTGGTTGAGAACTCAAAGCGCATGCGCCTCGAGTATGTCACCAATGGCACGACTCTGGAGTTTCCAGACAATGACCCGTCGTGCAAGAGGGCCTCGCAGCTCGTTGCCGCCAATCTATGCCGGGTAGCGCTTTACATTGAAACATCGAAGCGGTCTGGCATTACCTTCGAGCTCTGGTTACCCGAGACATGGACCAAGGCAAGATACATATCAACTGGCAACGGTGGCGTGGATGGATGTAAGTTTGCCTTCAGTTTCCCAATTCCGCATGGGGCAATTCAGATCAACTAAACCTTGGCAGGCGTCAAGTATGAGGATTTGGCATATACAACTGCCAATGGCTTTGCGGCCATGGGAACGAATAATGGCCATAATGGCACTACGGGCGTGTCATTCCTGAATAATCCTGATGTTATCGAGGACTTCTCGTATAGAGCGTAGGCCACACTCCCACAGCCATTGATATTGCCTCTAGTGACTAATTACCGGTTGAATTGTTCTCATTTAGCCTCCACACCGGCACAGTAGCAGGCAAGTTGTTAACCAGCCAATTCTACAACAAAACTCCCGCTCATTCATACTACATTGGATGCTCTCTGGGTGGTCGTATGGGCGTCAAAGCTGCTGAGGCCTTTCCAGGTGATTATGATGGAATTGTTGCCGGATGTCCTGCCGTTGACTTCCTTCATCTACAAGGCGCGAGAGCCATGTTTTATCCCATTACCGGTCCCGCTGGCCCGTCCAACTTTATTCGCCCAGAGTTGTGGACTGGCTTAATCCACGATGAGGTTCTCAACCAGTGCGACCTTCTCGATGGCGTGAAGGATGGTATCATTGAAGTACCAGACAAGTGTTACTTCGACCCCGAAACCTTGCAGTGCCCGATGCCCTGGTGGCCATTCGGCAACAAGGACAAGTGCCTCAACTCTCAGCAAGTACTGCAGCTATGGAAGATTTACGCCACCTATAAGTACCCCAATGGCACGCTCATATTCCCTCGCATGAATCCGGGTAACGAGGAGCAAGCGATAAAGAAATTGCTTGCCGGGGCACCTTTCAGCTATTCTCAAGTAAGCACTTATCCCCATAGCAAAGGCCATTGGCACTCACTGAGTAAATTAGGACTGGTTCCGATATGTTGTCCTCAACGACTCAACATGGGATGCTATAAACTATAACTCCTCCCTCGTAGCCATAGCCGACGCCCAGAACCCCTTCGGTATCAGAACTTTTCCTGATAGTCTTCCCGCATTCAAAGCAAGAGGCGGCAAGATGATTAGTTACCACGGTGGCCAAGATAACCAAATCACAATGTTTAACACAGAGCGTTTCTGGGACCACATGGCCAAAGAGGATCGCCACTTGCACGATTATTACCGCTTTTTCCGAGTCTCTGGCATGTTCCACTGCAATGCTGGTCCTGGGGCTTGGGCATTCGGACAAGGTGGTGGTGCTCCGGCAGCGGGGATCCCCTTCGATCCCGAAAAGAATGTGCTTGCTGCTATTGTTGCGTGGGTTGAAGAAGGGAGCGCACCGGAGACTTTGACGGGGACAAAGTTTGTCAATGATACAGTGGCTTTGGGTGTTGATTTCCACCGTAGGCACTGCTTGTAAGTTTCATGCTGGAAGCTGGGGAGATATATCGCTGACCTGTGCAGATATCCAAAGACGCAGACTTACATTGGTGGAAATCATAAGCATGCTTCAAGCTGGAAGTGTGTGTAATACGGCTTCACTAATAGTTGGTATCTATATAATGTAATCAAACTACTGCATTCGATACTTCGATCCAGGCCATGTACTCCTGTCAGATTATATCTGAGTTTCATCTCATCATGTCATCATACTCTTTCCTATTGCCTTGGCGCTATCCTTCCAACGCTATATTTAGGTATCCGCCATCCCCGTAATCCTCATGAATTTACCCTTGCCCTTGCCACGTTTTTAGCTATGGCCTATCTCGAATTCCCGCTCAAAGGATCCGAGAGAGGCACAATCTCCGACGGATGATACGTTTGCAATGTAGAGGTGTGTGGAATAAGTGTCCTGGGGCGAATATGGCACTTTGGACTGTACGCATTCATTAGCGAGGTGGCAAACAACAAGACTGTGAGGCAGTACGATGACGCCGGTCGCAGGCTTCGTCACAAAGGTTCGCATTGTTTTTGGGCAAGGGCAATCAATACCGCTACCAAGGAAGGGTCGTGGAGTGGCTCGGTTAAGGTCGATCGAGGCTTTCTCCATTTTCGCGTAGCCGAATCGTGGCCTACCTATTGAACTAAAAGGCATATGAAGTTTCAGCAAACCTCCTCTTGGGCCATGAAGAAACGGGGCGATTTTCAACATACGAAACAGGAGGCTGTGTGGGAAAGGCAAAACTATTCCGCAGGTAAAGATAAGTTAGAAGGAGTGCCCGAAGGGGGCCCAGTGTCGAAGACTGGGGATGATTGATTTTCCAATGAGTAGAGAGGCTCGAGGCTGGTGTACGGTAAAGGAGAGAACATGCATTGGGGACCATACACGAAAGCGGAATCCTCGCGCAGCATTCGTTTTATCCCTTTGGCTGTGTCAAGGTGCACTTGTTGCACTAGATTACTCCGCATAGTTCTAGCTACGAAGAAACGTTCACTTTAAAAATATATAAAGTCTACTGAAAAATAATTCAAGATTCAAAGTGTTAACAATACAACAAAAAGCAACTATCAATCGCCGTGGTTGAGGCTATTGCGGACAGCCTTTCCCGGTACGCTGCGATGAATCACTTATCCTCTGACTACATGTCGCTTTTTACGCATCGTGATGCGTGTATTTATTTATAGTGTATGGAGCGGCAAAAGACGATTCTCTGGTGGCATTACCTTACTGGGCCTTACCTGATGCAGCGCTTGCGCGATTATTCAGATAGACCAAATAAAATCAAAAATTTCATAAAAAAATATATGCGCTCGTCCTGTTACTAGAAAGGTGTCTATAAAGTCAAGTATGAATCGCTACAAAGTTAATGGAGTCGTTGCATTAAAAGCACCTTAGCACACATGCCGCCAAATTGATTGGTCTCAGTCCCCCTCAGTGCTGCTCTAAAAGGACAAGCGACATCTGGACGCCCCACTGATGCCCCATCAAAGCTTCCTGGACGTCACACGTCACTACTTAGATGTCAACTTGGTTCGCAACATCCAACCACCCGGCGATGTCCAGTCCCCAATCTGCTTCCGCATCGCGCTCAAAATGGCACTTCTGTCACAGGATCCCCTGATCCCAGGCACCGCATCTGCATCCCCCGATACCGCTCTTGCGGAATTGACACAGCTGCTTTTACGGTTGCAGAACAACCTTCTACATCCAACTCCAGACCGAGAAAAACGGCTACGAACGAGCGAGTACGAAAGGGCGAAAGCAGAGGCGGTAAGACAGGCTGAAAGCGTAGATATGGTGCGATGACTGACGAGCCGCGGTGCAGAACCTGGAATACGCACGGAATGTCTTGACGAAGCTCGAACAGGATGCCCTCCGTGTAAAGGCACCGACGAGGAGGGTGGAGACGCAAAATCTCTTGAATGTGAACCGAGATCGACTAGAGACGCTCCTTGATCGACTAGAAGACTTGCGACATGTTAGGACAATATATCCGCTCCATGATCCGATTGTTGCTGACCCGCGTGCAGATGGCGATAGACGAAGACGACAGCTCAGATGGGGAGGATCTCTTGGGCCATATAATCCCTACGCCTAGCGAAAGCATGGACTCAAGATCCTCAGACACGAGAGACGAACACAGCGCGCTCGAGACACCGCCCAACTCTTCAACTCCAGAACCCATTCCTCAAGAACCCATCCGACGTACACCATCACCAACTCCAGCCGGCTCTTCACAGCCAGCTACGCAAACCACACAAACTCTACGATCGCGCTCATCTGCCCAACCGACCGCAGTATCACACACCACCGCTAGAGCAGCCCTCTTTGCGAATCGTCCCAAGCCACCCGAACCACAAACAACCACTGCCACAGCCGAGGCCATTCTCGAGAACCAAAAAGCTGAGCAAGACGACCTGTCACGGTCCATTCTTCAGCTGGCAAGCGCACTAAAGCACAGCTCGAAACGATTCGCGGTAACGCTAGAAGCTGACAAGGATGTACTCGAGAAAACGGGCGAGGGCATAAATAAGGCGGAACAGAGCATGCGATCGGCCGCTGGAAGAATGGGCAAGCTGCGGCAGATGACGGAGGGAAAGGGCTGGTGGGGACGGATGATTTTGTATGCGTGGGTGTATGGCCTGATGCTGGGTTTGGTGTTGTTGGTGTTTCTAATGCCCAAGTTGAGATTTTAATGTATTATGGGCTATGAATAAAGGGCGTAACCCGGCGGACTGAGATATCACTGCGTATGGCCCGGGTTTGAAATTGTATTAATCTATGATATCATGAGCAAGGTTGTTTTGCCTATAGCAGGTATGTGATGTAGCGAGTGATTTGCAAGTTTTGCATGTCCTGCTCCTAGCTCTGCTTTCATTTTGACGGTGTTGGTCGTCGTCTGCCTGCCAATTCTCCCTCTGTATATATCCCTTCGTTCAGCCGAAACTGCTCTTTCGTCATCCGTAAACATTATATTAAGCCCTTTCCATTATGCTGGATGAAATTCCCCGCTTCGTCTATTATTGCGCTCCATTACCACCAAACTCACGAAAAGTATCGTCAGACTGCCCACCCACATGTTTATCTCGTTGGCGACGTCCTCTACCGCTGGGTCCCAGTCCCATATTGCTTTGCCTCAATTGTCACAAGGGTCTCGATCCGCATCATTGGAGTCAATATCCATGTCACGGCCGAACAGCCCTTCAGAATCGCCGCTCTGAGAACTACGTCCATCCTGATCACCATCTGTACCAGGCACACCTTGTTCCTGGCCCTCACTCGTGTCAATCTCGTCCAGGGATGGCCCCCTTATCGCCCTATTCAACTCGAAGCAAAAGTAGCGGGACCATAGCTTGTCCCGTCCGGTAGACTTGCCACCCGTCTATTTATGATGAGCAATCGAAATTCACGACAAGAGCAAGGGCATGCAACGTACCGGGGCCGTGTACTGAAAATATTCAGCCGGCATCGTGGCCTGTCTAATGATTCGTTCCGACCAAGGAATACCCGTCTTGAGTTTGAAAAAGGCTCTAAACGCGTCCATCTGCGTGTGCTGCAAGGTGGGAAAGTCCGTCTCGCGATAGTAGTGCGGCTGGGTGTCGCCTTTGGACTTGGAATACTTGGCTGCGAACCAGTAGAGATGCGGCTTGGCCCTGGACTTGTAGAGCTATATATCCGGGTTAGGCACTCGACGCAACGACCTGCATGCTGGATGGGAAGGGCTCACGCAGAGTGTATACTTCTCCAGCTGCTCCCTCTCTGGGTCTGCCTCTGGGCCATGGACCGTAAGACGAGTCAACTCGACCTTGTACGGGAATAGCAGGTCATCGTCGAAGATTTGGTAAAGGTCTAGTGTTGTCAGTCACAGCCGGCGATGGAATAGACGAGTAAACAAGGTACGAACTAGGGTCGATAAACCGCTCGGCCAGTCGTTTCCCCCGCTCAAGTCTAGTCGCTCTTCGCTCCTTTTCCTTCTTCTTGTTGTACTTGGCGCGGAGGTCGTAGTCTTGTTCGGGCTGTCGCGCTTCCCTGCCGCCCATGGACAGGAGGAACCATTCGTAGCGGACGATGTGGCACTTGAGCCTGAGTGCTTTTTTGACTATCGGCAGTTAGCAGGCTCTTACTAACATGGCTGGAGCTTGGGTCGGAGTCATGGAACCAATTGCATTATCGGCGTTGAACTGTTCCTCGGAGCAGAGAAGGTGAGTGACACTCTCGTCGAAAGTGGTTCTGAACTCGCCCTTGCGTAGCTTGGTCCAGTTTTTGAAGTTTTCTACTGTGTTTTTGTCTGGGAGAGGACCGGCTGCAGCTATAACCCTGCCTCTGAAGATGGGCTTTGGGCTTGAGAATGAATTGCGCGGCATGGCAAAGGAAGGATGAAGCAAGTGGTAATGCAAAATGCGCGGGAAGCAGCTCAGACCAAGCTGTTTACAGATATTCGAGAAATAGTGAGAACCAAAATTTTGGTTTCAGATGCAGATATATCATTAAATCCTCTGGTGAGGACTTGGTTCTTGGTAGTTGTTGAAACAGCGAATAGAAGGTATGTGAAGTTGGAGGTTGTTTTATACTACGCAGACGGTCAACTCGGCGTTGAGTTTGCAACTCTGAAAATAACAAATAAAAAAATAGAAGGGTATTGAGAAATGAATATAATAATATGAGCCAAGTGCTCAATTCCAATTGCTAATGAATTCAAAGGAACCGGAAGGAAATAAAAGGCTTAGATGGATGGCCTCGTGGTTGTTCGTGTAAGTGCTCCGTTTGTGTTCTGGGCGATACTTACACGCGCGGCGAATCTGAGCTCATGGGACAGATGCACCGTCTCGCGGGACAAATGGTCAACAGCAAGTCCATGGCGCCTGTAGTGAATCAAGTACTCTATTCCACATAATGCCATTGCATCCTATTATTTCGAGCAAATTTTGCCTTTGTTGTTCCCTCGCTTGGATACACACTGGTAGTATATCCCGAAACTTGATCACGGAAAGTAAGGAAGTATGGACAAGACGCTGACAGCAACCCAGAGTTGTAGTAGCAAAAAGGGGTGAAACTCAGAAGTTATCCGGCACAGAAGTAGAATCAACTGCCATCTATGTTATACTTTATTTTCTTTCGTAGACCTATAATAAATTATCGAATCGCCTTGCCAGCCTTGACAAAAGCATCGATTCTCTCAAGACTCTGTTTGCCACCTTCCTCGACGCCACTGCTGACATCCACACCTATTACACGATCACTGAGGTCTCCCAGTGCCTTAACTGCCTCGGTAACGTTTTCTGGGTTCAAACCTCCAGCAAGAAATATCCGCAGATCAGGGTCCCTTTCCAGAGCCGCCTTGACTTTCGAAACATCCAGCAGCTTTCCAGACCCAGCCCCCGAGTCGAGCAAAGGAATGGTGTGATAGCCACGCAGTCCGATTCCGACATTGTCTGGCTTGAATGATCGGATGACTGGGACGGGGATAATCTTGGCCCACTCGATGGGTTCTTCTCCGTGGAGCTGTACCATGTCCAGTTTATACAGTCTCTGCTTCTCCAAGACGTCACTTAGAGGCTGGTTCTGGAACACACCTACCAACCGCGTCCTGGAGCTCTGCAGACGATCTGCTGCGGCGGCGAAGAAATCAGTAGCTCCGCTCTTGGGAACCGGCTCTTCTTTTCTGTCTGCCAGATTGTCCCCGGATGCATGAACGGCTTCTGAGATGGCCAAAGCAGTCTCGTGTGAGACACATCGTTTTGTACCGGGCACCAGGATGATCCCAACGAAGTCAGCTTTGGATTCCACGGCCTGTTTCGCTGCCTCGGGACTTCGAGTTCCACAAACTTTGACAAAGAGGGGCTTTGGCTGTCGTTTCTTCTCCGCAGGCTTGGATCCTGAGCACAATTCCGCAATGAAGGAAGTGGCGTCTGGCGCTCGCATGATTGACTCGCCAACAAGAATCGCGTTGACACCATCATTCTTGCATGCAAGCACATCCTTGTGGCTGTTGATACCTGAAAGTGCACATATCACTGTGCTTTCGGGAACCATTTTCCGCAGTCGGCCGGTTGTATCCATGTCCACTTCAAAGCTCTCCAAGTTTCGATTGTTGACACCGATGACTTTTGAGCCGAGCTTTACGGCAATCTCCATTTCTTCAGCGGTTTGGACTTCTACTAAAGGCTCCATTCCCAATGAAAGGGAGTACTTGTACAATCGCTCAAGGAGTTCGGTCTCGAGCATCTTGACAATCAGAAGCACAGTATCTGCACCGGCCAGTCTTGCTTCCAAAATTTGATACTCGTCAAAAATAAACTCCTTTCGTAGAATGGCAGGCCTGTTTGGCATACCATCAAGCACCTGTCGAACGGCACGGAGGTCTTCAATACTACCCTTGAACCACTCAGGTTCGGTAAGCACTGAGATGACACTTGCACCAGCCAACGCGTACTTTCTGGCTTGCACCGGTGCGTTTATTTCAAGGGCAAAAATACCCTTCGAGGGAGACCCGCGCTTGATTTCAGCCATTAAGGCTACATCAAAAGGTGTCTGTTTAAGACGAGCCAAGAAAGGGACTTGGGGAGGGGCTGCATTCAACTCGTAAGCAGCCTCAAGATCAGACATTCTTTGAGAAGGAATCTGTTTTTGAGCTTCTACTGCAGCTCTCCGATTTGCGTAGATCCTTTGGAGAATGTTGTTCTTCTTTGGCAGTGATGCTGTGGCGGTTCCGTTGGTTGCGGCTGTCTTATGCAGTTGGGCGTTCTCTTCCCAGGTGCCACCTTGCATGTGCAGGAAATTCTTAATGATTGTACGGCCGTGAGCTGTCAGAATGCTTTCGGGATGAAACTGTACACCTTCCATGGCGAATTTCTTATGGCGGACACCTTGAATGATGCCTTGTGAACCATCGTCTTTGGCTACCCAAGACGTCACCTCCAAACATTCGGGAAGTGTCAGGCGGGTCCCCGCCAAAGAGTGGTATCGAGTTACGGGAAGGCCTTGCTCAAGACCGGCAAAAACTCCTTTCGAGTCGTGGGTCAGTGGTGACGTCTTCCCGTGAAGCCACTCCCCGGCAGAGTCGACCTGACCACCATAGACATCAAACATGCATTGCCTAGGGAGCGTTAATGTTATTTCCTAACTGGGGGCAAGTACAGCGTAGATAGCTACTCACAACCCCATACAGACACCAAAAATTGGAATCTTGCCGGCAAAGTGTCGAATCGCGTCTCTGCTGACACCAGAGTCGGTGGTGGGATGGCCAGGACCAGGGCTGATGATGAGCTGAGTTGGGTTCTTTTTTACCAGCTCTTCAATGGTGATTTGGTCATTTCGGAAAACATGAACTGTGGCACCCTCAAGAACCAGGTATTGATAAATATTCCAGGTGAAAGAGTCGTAGTTATCAATGAGAATAAGATTAGATGCCGTTGCTACCGGTGGTGAGGGCTCAGGCTGGTGGGGTGAGTGGTCAATGAGGGCTGGCATCGTCATCTTGACAAAATGTACATGAGAGTTAAGAAGAAGATGAAGTTGGACTGTTGGAATTCCAGACGATTCTGGCTACCTTTGCTGATGGAGAGAGGATGTGCCAGCTTATCATTGACGTGAGTCAATGGTTGTACGAGAAATAAATTGGCAGCCCTTGCAACGAAAAAACGCCGATATCGTATAAAGTTATGCACTGTATATGCACACGAATCGGATGTTATTTGTCACGGTGCGTAATCACAGTGCGCCCATCTTAATGCTGCCTCCGATGAGTCCCCGGCAGTCGCCAAGGTGCAGTGCATCGTTGTTTCCTGAGCATGGTTTGGCTGGCTTATCAGGTACCTGGCCGGTTGAACATCGGCAGCGCCGTTGAGCTCCAGCCCAAAAAAAAGTTGACGCTGAAGCGGCCTGCAGGAGAGCTCTGTTAGGTCCATATCGATTGCTGGGCTCGCGACAGCAGCGCGTCAACACCATTCTTTTTGTCACCAATCCCTCCTGGGTGATGCATCGTGTGCCACTGCCACTTTAGTGACGCTCGTGGCAATGGCGCCGGTGTCTGATAGCAAATATTTTCCCTCCCTGGGAGAGTGCTTGTCTGGGGAGCGAGTGCTTTTGTGAGTCTCAGCACGCTGCAGTTGAAGGTTGGGATCTGCCTCTTACTGACAATTGCATTTCTCGCAGATCTTGGAGGCATGTTGCTACAGCTTTGGCCGACGACTCCGGAAGAAGGCAAAAAAGCACCGAGGTCGTCAATTTCTTGTCCGATGATTATGTCCACGCGCTCTTGAAAGATCCCTCTGCTGCGTTTGCGCCACCCAGTGAGGCTGCAAGGAAGGACTTCGAAACAAAAACGGCGCCAATCAACGTGACTTCAGCGTCGACAGAACGATACGACATCAATTTGCTCAAGCAGGATGCGGAATGGCTGAGCAAGAGCGCAAAACTTAATTTGGTTGCTTCATTGCGAATTGCTGCACTAGAGGTGCAATCGAGACCCAATCGTCATCTTCTTGGACCTTTGTCATCTCAGGACGCAACAAATCTTCAGGAAGCCGCAGGCCTTCAGAATGGACGAAGTGCAACCTTCATGTCAGACTTTGGAGCTGGCAACGCTCAAGATGCTGATGAGATATCCGCCGAATTTGATGCCGCCGATTCGAGAAAGCGCCGGCTTTTCAGCATGTTCCTGACTGAGCGAAGATATTTCATCATGACTATGGACTATTTGCAATCAATTAGACTGTATGGAAGACTACCGATATTCACCCCTGTCAGCGACAAATTGGCAGCACTCTACAAACTAAAGGCTTCGCCAAATACCAAGGACGAGAGCGTATCATTCCTGTCCGCATATCTCAAAGTCATCACATCCAGCATGACCAGCTTAGAGGCTGGTCTCAAGTCAGTGACCGACGAATCTATCTTGATGAAAGAAGATATTGAACTGGATTGGCTGGGAACCTTACTCACCGAGATCATCCATTCTCAATCTGTGGTATTCCAACTGGTGGATAGCCTTGGCAATGACTTCCCGCCCTCCAGTGTTATCAATCAGTGGTTTTCATTGATGGACTTGTACAATTTCTTTGACACCCTTCAACCTGTCCGTAAATATGGCCCGCGCTGCTTTCTACAAGTAGATGCTAACCAATAAACTAGATAAATCAAACGATCGGCGAATTGGTTCTGCCACTGAAGACAATTGCTGTTGCCGTCTCTATCAGCCTTCTTAAACCCGCCCGATCCTTGACATTTTTAGCCGAGAGAGAAGAGGACCCGACGCCGTCCGATGACATGTACGATTCGTACTTGATATTGTCAGACATCTTGGAGCAGGTACATAAAAGTGTTCTCAATGCGGCCGGGATGGATTGCGAAAGCGCTACTCCTG